GATCCCCTGGAACTGGAGTTACCGACAGTTGTTAGCTGCCATGTGGGTGCTGGGATTCAAACCCGGGTCTTCTGCAAGAACAGTCAGTGTTCTTAACTGCTGAGCCATCTGTCCAGCTCCAACTCTGGTTTTTTACATGGGGGCTCCAATTCAGATTGTCATGCTTGTGCAACAAGCACTTTACTGACTGAGCCATCTCCTTTGCCCAGTAGTTATTTAAAAAAGCAAGATTATGAGACTTCTATTATTTGAGTTTTATTTATTACAATATGATATATTTAAGAAGGGTGTATGGGCCACTGTGCTTGCATAGAGGTCAGAGGACAACTCTGTATAGTTAGTTCTCTCCTTCCACCTCTACATGGGTTTTGTGGATCAAGCTCAGGTCCTTAGGCTTATGTAGCAGGTGCTTATCTGCTGAACCATGTGGCTGACCAGGGACTTTTAATTAATTAATTGTTGATTAATTAATTTAGAAAGGGTCTCACTATGTAGCTGGCCTGGAACTTACTATATAGACCAGGCTGGCCTCAAACTCACAGAAGATATGTCTGCCTCTGCCTCCTGTGCGTTAGGATTAAAGGCATGTACCACTACACCCAGCCTGAGACTTTTATTTTTGATATTATGTCTTTCTATAATATTATAAGTTTGGGAAAGATTTTTTTTCTTTTTGTCTGTGTTAGAAATGAAATCCAGGCCCTTACACATGATAGGCAATCAGCTTACCACCCATGGTGGAGGTGAGCTACACTTCCAGCCTTGAAGTTTTAAATAATTACTTTTGTGGGCACATAATAGGATAGCATTCCTTTAAAGACCCTAGTTGCCATCATCGATACATTTTGAGATACTCATATAACAATGGAAATAATTTTTAAGTGATTCCCTCAGATAAAACAAAGCAACTTACTTTAAACTTTCAAGAGAGAATACTTTTCTTTTTTTAAAAATTTTATTATTTTATGTGTATGAGTGTATTGTCTGAATGTATGTAAGCATGCCCATGTTGTGCAATGCCTGCAGAGGTCAGAAGAGGGTGTCAAGTTGCCCTGGAACTGGAGTTATGGATGGTTGTTAGCTGCCATGTGGGTGTTGGGACTTGAACCTAGGTCCTCTGCAAGAGCAACCAGTGCTCTTAACTGCTGAGCCACCTCTCCAACACTTACTTTTCTTTTTTTAGGTAGGTTCTCATTTATCCCAGGCTGGCCTTGAGCTGTCTGTAAAGCAGAAGATACTCTGGCACTTCTGATTCCCTGCCTTTTCCTCCCAAGTGCTGGGGTGATAGACATGGACTACCACATCTAGTGTATGTGGTTCTAGAGAGCAGAGTCAGGGCTTTTAAATGTTAGATAGGCACTCTACCAACTGAGCTACATCCCCAGCGCCTCAAAATAAGGCATTTTTACTAAATTTTAGAGGGAAATGCACCTTTTATATTTACTGATCTGATGTAAAGGGTTCTTTTTTTTTTCTTTTTTTTTTCTTTTCTTTTTGAGACAGGGTCTCCCTCTAGCTCCAGCTATCCTGGAACTCACTATTTAGACCAGACTAACCTTGAACTCACAGAGATTCGCCTGCCTCTGCCTCCCAAGTGCTGGGATTAAAGACATGTGTCACCACACCCGGCTGTAAAGGGTTCTTTTAAAATAAGTAACATTTATAATAATAATTCTTACAAACTAACAGACAGGGTCATAAAATTGAGAAAAGAAAAAGTTATTATGGAACTTTAAGGGGCATCAGAACTGTTTTCTTCATTTCATAGATGAAGAAAGCTAAAACAATAAGTAAATCAAGGAATTTAGTGGAGCTTAGAATTGTATGACTATAATTCCAGCAGTTGGGGTTCATAAGTCCAAGGCCAGCCTAGGATACATAGAATTTGAGGCCAGCATAGGTTACATAGTGAGATCCTGTGTCAAATAACAACAGGGGAGGGGTTAGTTCAAGATCAATTATTAAGTAGCAGCAGCATTAACATGAGAACTTTCGCCTTCTAATTCCCCCTTGTGTAGTCTTCATCTACAGGCTATTCTATTTTTTTTCTGATGAGAAATAATTAAGAACAGTCTTATTCCAACTGATTTGAACAGTTGTAATTAAACTCATGGCTTCATATCAGTCTACATTTATACTGCATTTAGACTTGAATAGTTATATAATCATCTTTTAAAATGAACGAAAGCCTTAGCATTTTAACTAGTTAGGGCTGGGGCCGTTGCTCAGTGAGTGATTGAGAATTTGCCCAGTGTGTGAGACCTGGGTTGGAGACCTAGCATTGAAAAATGGTTATTTGGTCACCATCATGAGCTTCTTCACTGAATTTGAAAGTGTGAGCAGGAATATGTAAGCGTCAGTCTCTAACAGCCTGCTTGGTGCCTGGTGCTTCATTTAAATAATATCTCCTCATCAGCTTATTTATACTTAGAAGGAAGATGGTTAGCAACTTCTATTTCAACAAATATTGAAATAGAGGTTCTATTATGCAAATATTTATGGTCTATGAATTCTTATCAATCTCTTTTAATGTGTTATTTATTTTCAATTGTAATTTATTTTCAATTGTTTTAATGTGTTATTTATTTTCAATTGTAATTTATTTTCAATTGTTTTATTAATTTTATGTGTCATATATAAATATTATGTATTTTCATGTTTCCCAGACTGGCCTCCAACTTGCTATGTAGCTGTGGATGACCTTGAACTTCTGACCCTCCTGCCTCCACCTCCCTAGTGCTGGGATTATTGGCATGCACCACCTCACCAGATTTATGTGGTGCTGGGGAATCAGATCCAGGGCTTTGTTCATGCTAGGCAAGCACTCTACCAAATGATCTGCATCCCCACCTCCAAATTTATTTTGTTTCTGTTAAGTCTGTGACCCTGTAAACTATTGGATTCTCTGTCTCTGATAATAATGGGACACTGTTGTCTAATGCAGTGGTTTATTCATGCTAGGCAAGTGTTGTATTACTGAGCTACATCCTCAGCCCTTGGATTTTTAAACAGGTCTTTCTATGTGGCCCAGACTGGTATTGAACTTAGAATCCTGTTCTCCTACCTCTTGTGTGTTGGGATTATAGCTATGAGCCACCATGCTTAGATCTTGCATTTTTTTGAAGGATCTTAAAAATAGCATCATTAGTATACATGTGCCATGACATAGGCATGCTCACACATATACACGAAATAATTCATTAAAAAATAGCATCATTATATTGGTAATGAGGATGTTAAAACATCAAACAACCGTGAGCCTTGAGGAACCTGGAAAGACATGATAACTAGCACTGGATGGTACCTTGACTTGACCCGAGAGCACAAAGAGGACCCTAACAGAGAAGCTGGCAAATTTAAATTTAGAGTTTAGGTAATGATAATGATGCAATGCTGTTTTCTTCATGGTGTGTGTGTGTATGTGTGTGTGTGTGTGTGTGTAGGTCAGAGGTTGACATTAGTGTCTTCTTCAATTGCACTCCATGTTATTTTTTGAGATAATGTCTCTCACTGAACTGGAACATGCTGACTAAGCTAGACTGGCTAGTCAGAAAGTCCCAGGGATCCTCTGTCTCTACCTCTCCAGAGCTGGGATAACAGGCACACACTGCTAAACCCAGCTTTTTTACAGAGGTGCTGGGGATCCAAACTCAAGCCTTTAGTCTTTATTTTTGTTTGGGAAGCACTTTACCACCTGATCAATCTCTCCAGCCCCGTTTTCTTAGTTTTGACAGGTCTACTATATTAATGTAATTATAAATAATGGGGGAACTGATTAGAGGATATATGGAAACTTGCCTTATTTTATTTTGGTATTTTCTTAATTATCTAAGGTTGTTAAAACTCAAATAGCTTATTTGTCTGATTCACTTAAAAATAACAATATAGAATGTGTAATAATGAATTTAATATTTTGACTTACCTCAGATATGATTGCCTGTTACACTTGGTGATACACAGATAGTAACCAAGTAATCCAAAAATAACCAAGAATACTCCAGCAGCAATTAATCCAGTCAGAAGGCCCATAGCATCCATTTTATCTCTGTTAACATCTTAAGAGAAATCATTTAAGTTAACATAAATATAATGATTGAAAAGCATCATCTATAATTTCAATAAATTTAACATATTATTAAGCACCTCATTTGAAAAAATTTAAATGATTATTTATTTTTAATTTTGTCTAAAAATTTTGTCTTTTTACATTTATTTATTCAGTGTGTGTGTGCATCTGTGTGTGTGTGTGTGTGTGTGTAGGCACACACATGCCACAGCACACATGTAGATATCAGAGGACAACTTTTGAGAGTTGGTTCTCTCTACCACATGGGTTCCAGGGATTTAACTAGGGTCATCAGGCTTGGTTGCAAGTGCCTTTACCTACTGAGCTATCTTGTCAGTACTTAAATGATATTTATAAGACCCCTGACTATGTTTATTTTAAATTTTATTTTAAATAGGTCCTATTAAATAGGAATATCCAACAGTAAATGGGATAAACATATTCTTTGTTCAGCTAGACACATTTTGGTATTAACTACTAAGGTACATTTTTATTAAGCACCTTGATATAGCTATACAGTATAGCATCCTATAGGGGGACCCCACCTAAAAGGAATGAAAGAATCAAGGGCAAAAAATAAATTAATAAATTACTAGAAAGCAGCTAGAAGGGTAAAAGGGTAGAAGGGATAAAAACATGGGTTAGCAGATGCAAAATTACAGTCAGGAGGAGTAAGTGTCAGTGTTCTTTTTAAAATGATTTTTACTTTATGTGTATAAGTGCATTGCTTGCATGTGTATAAGTGTACTCCTGTTGTGCAATGCCTGAGGAGATCAGAAGAGGTCACTGGATTCCCCTAGAACTGGAGTTATGGATGGTTGTTAGCCACTATGTGGATGGTAAGAATTGAACCCGAGTCCTCTGCAAGAGCAGCCAGTGCTCTTAACTGCCGAGCCATCCTTCCAGTCCCGGTTCTAGTGTTCTATAGTATATCAGGGTAACTATAGCTAATAATTTATTGGATATTTCAAAATCGCTAGAGTGTTCTAAACTCAAAGAAATGACAAATGTTTGATGTGATAGATATGCTAATTGCCCTGACTTGATATTTACATATTGTATACATATATTAATATACTGTATTCCATAAATAGGTACAATTATTATGTATCAATTAAAAAGAAGACAGCTTGAGATGATCAATACAGGTAAGACAAAACCAGAAGTTACTTAGTTCTATGTAACGAGTTTCTCCTCTTCCCCTCTCCCCACCCTCAACTCTACCCCCACCTTTGGTTGGAGATTGAACCCAAACCTTTGTACCTACTAACCATGTATTCTACCAAAGCCTATTTCTCTGTCTCTGTCTCTGTCTCTCTGTCTCTGTCTCTGTCTCTCTGTCTCTGTCTCTGTCTCTGTCTCTCTCTCTCACTGAGTCTCATACCTAGGGGCATGTGCATGCTAGGTAATCACTCTGTAACTTAAGTTATATTCCTAGCCCTACCTTCAGCCTAATCAAGCAATCTCAATTTACTACTACAGGTATTCTACTCGCTTGTAATGGTAAAAAAGAAGAAAAGTTTGAACTAGTTTATAGGTTGAAATGAACAGAGTCCTACTTTTCTTCTGTGCAAGTCTTAACTTAGTTGAGCTGCTTAAAACAGATTTAAACTCATTATCTCATTTCCCTAATATCTCACCAAACTTGATTTTCCATGTGTAAATAGATGAGCATAGCTTTCTGTGTCTCATATAACCCAGCATATAATTGAGAAATTGTCTGTGGACTTACAAGGTATGTTGAGCAACAGCCAAATTCAAATAACAAAACTAAAACATTACAATAGAGAGAGGGTGAGGAAAACATTAAATGTCAGCAGTTCTTGCCTTACCTGATTTTGTGGTTGGTCCCTTAATTGAATAATCCTGCCAAAATGTCACCTAAGAAAAAGTAAAAGTTCTAAGTTTATGTAAATTGTTATCATTTCATTTGTTCCCAGTGACCTAGACTAGGGGTGGCAAGGTCTTGGCACGTGACCCAGGTAGAAAACCAGTTCATTCAAACTGGAGGGTGTGACTCATTCCACTGTCTGTGCTATCTGTTTCATTGATGAAGGGATTGTGCTGGTCCCAGCTCTCCACTACCATTCTCTGCTAATCTTCCTTTACCCACTAAGACACCAGGGACTACTACATGAGAGGTGGCGGAAGTCCTAGACATTGAAGTTGACTGATCACCTTTGAAAGACACGCTGAGTTTTTCTATGCTGGGGATGTAGGGCAGGGTTGTTAAAAGATGTTATTTTGAATGCCGTTTTCTGACTTGAAAAGATATCTCTTAGACAGGTCTCTGTTATTTGATTAAATCTTTTTAAAAAAATTTATTTATTATCTTTTTTATGTGTATGAGTGTATTGCCTGCATGTATGTAAGTGACCCGTGTTGTGCAATGCCCTTGGAAGACAGAAGAGGCCGTCGGATCCCCTGGAACTGGAGTTACAGACAGTTGTTAGCTGCCATGTGGGTGCTGGGATTTGAACCAGGGTCTTCTGCAAGAACAACCAGTGTTTTTAACCGCTGAGCCCTCTCTCCAGCCCAGTTCTCTGTTATTTGAAAGAATGGAAGATTCTGAGGAACCATGACAAAATTAGAAAATAGGTTTGCTATTATGAAAAATAACAATAAATCAGGCCAGGTGTGGTGGCACACACCTTTAATCCCAGCACTCAGGAGGCAGAGGCAGGTGGGATCTCTGTGAGTTCAAGGTCAGTCTGGTCTACACAGTGAATTCCAGACCAGCTGAGGCTACAGGGAGACCCTGTCTCAAAAAGACCAAAAACAAACAAAAAACACCATTAAATCCCAACAAGCATAACTACAAAGTATATTCTTTGTTTTCCCACTTAATACATGTAGCAAGTCTTTACAGGAAATGGGAGACTAGGAACAATTAGGGAAGAATGAAACTAGGTTCCATTGATACCCATAATGAAGGATCCATGGAGAGGTTCTTATTGAGAAAAGAGCAAAGTAAGATGCTTGAGAGAGAGGAGCTGGGGTTATTTATATACAGAAGTGAAGAAATTGGGTGTCGGGCAGGGCGTGGTGACACATGTCTTTAATCCCAGCACTCAGGAGGCAAAAGAGGCCAGATCTCTGTGATTTTGAAGCTAGTCTGCTCTACCTAGAGAGTTTCAGGCCAGCTGGGGTTATATAGTGAGACCCTGTTGCAAAAGAAGAGGGGGAGGAG